GTGATAAAGCAAGTGGGCTGAGTAGTGAGGCTGATATGATCTGTTACCTAAGAGTGGAAGTGATGCCACCTGGACCTAGCCACTTACGGCTACCGTGTCTTCAGGTGCAAACTCAGCTGAAAGGGTGGTTATCTTCTCTGTCTAGGCCTTTAGAACCTAGGAACTGCCTCATTCCGAACAAGAAAAATATCCTTGGTTAATGCAGACATTTATTGAGAACCTACTATTTGCCAGGCATGATATTAGATACTCATGGTTATCTTCTCTGTCTAGGCCTTTAGAACCTAGGAACTGCCTCATTCCAAACAAGAAAAATATCCTTGGTTAATGCAGACATTTATTGAGAACCTACTATTTGCCAGGCATGATATTAGATACTCATGTGTATCATCTCATTTAATCATCACAATAATTCATAACAGCCTTCTGAACCATTTCACTATCATTATTGCCATCTTACACATGATGAAACCAAGATTAAGTAACTTGTTGAAAGCTATCTAAGATGTGGTCAGGCACAGTAGCTTACGCCTATAATCCTAGCACTTTGGGAGGTCAAGGAAAGTAGATCACTTCAGGCCAGGAGTTTGAGACCAGCCTGGCAAACATGGCAAAACCCCATCTCTATAAAAAAAAAAAAAAAAAAATACAAAATTAGCCAGGTGTGGTGGTGCACACCCATAATCCCAGCTACTTGGGAGGTTGAGGCACAAGAGTCTCTTGAACCAAGGAGGTAGAGGTTGCAGCGAGCAGAGATCACACCATTGCACTCCTAGCCTGGGCAACATAGCAAGGGTCTGTCTCAAAAATAAATAAATAAAATAAAATAAAAGGTTTCTAAAAGGTAATTAGTCCTGAGACTACAGCTTAGGTCTGTCTGATTCAGAAACATCGTAATTATGTATTAAGGCAGATGGGAAAAGATGTTTATTGCAGCTTTGTTTGTAATAACAAAACACCAAAAACAACCTAAGTGTTGTTAAGCAAAAGAATCATGCTGTGATGTGCATAGAAATGGAGTACAGACTTGTATATGTGTTGTAGGGAGGGGCACACACACTCTTATATGTGTCTAAAGTATTTCTGGAGGGAGGATACCTTCTGGAAGGTGAACTAAAAGGCTAGTATAGATGGGCGATTTCTTTTTCACTCTGTTTTTGTACTGCTTGGATTTTTAAATTTTTTAAGGAGTGTATGTATTACATAATTACTGTTGCTAAACTTTTAAAAAGCAATGTAAATCCTGTCCTCACTACTCCACTGCCTCACTGAAGGTAGAGGAAGGTATCTCCCATGGTGGTGCCCTCTGCACTGCCAGCCTTCTGACCAGAAGGGTGGTGGCATTGCCTGACCCTCTGAACTTTGCCAAGTGCCCCCAGTCACATCAGTCTTTCTCATTTAAACCTCATACCAGCTGTGGAATGGATGCTGTCTCATCCGATATGAATGAGCCTGAGGCTTGGGGCGAATGCCTGGCCAAGGTATAGCCAGTGGTGGGTAGAGTGAAGACTCATACCCAAGCCTGGTGTCCGCACATCCCAGGAGGAGGAAAGTGGGCTTCCACCTTGCTCTTTCCACTGAGGTGGCTATGACTGTGGCACATGGTAAACTTAAAAGCAAAACAAAGTTATTTGCTTTGAAGACAGACATCATTCAAATCCTGGCTTTGCCTCAGATTAGTTATACAACCTTGGTCAAGTCACCAAATCTCTCTATGCTTATTTTTCCATGTATAAAATTGGAATAATAGTACCTGTCTTAAAGAATTATGGTAAGGGTTCAATGCAAATATACAATATGTAAATATATATCAATATATAACTATATGTACTATTAATTAAGACTGTGTGCACATGTGTGTGTAGGTATAGCATTTAGCATGGAGCCTGGCACCAAAAAAAGGACTTAAATAATGTAGCTAGTATTATTATGGGCACCTATGGCTGCCTCCCAAGTAAGAGGTGAGTGATGTCAATATCTCAAGGATCTTTTCTTTTTTTTTTTTTTTTTTGAGATGGAGTCTTGCTCAGTTGCCCAGGGTGGAGTACAGTGGCACCATCCCAGCTCACTGCAACCTCTGCCTCCCAGGTTCAAGTGATTGTCCTGTCTCAGCCCCCTGAGTAACAGGGATTACAGGCACATGCCATCATGCTCGACTAATTTTTGTATTTTTGTAGAGGCAGGGTTTCACCATGTTGGCCAGGCTGGTCTTAACTCCTGACCTCAGGCGATCCGCCTGCCTCAGCCTCCCAAAGTGCTGGGATTACAGGTGTGAGCCACCGCACCCGGCCTCAAGGTTCTTACTAGACATAGGGTCTGCGCTGTTCACACATCAAAGTCAGGGTCTTCTGAGGACAAACAGAGATAGATCTGTGTCCCTGTTTGCCCACAGCCACATGGAGGTTTGTCTTTGAGGTGAGCCTGACTCCACAAACCCAAGACCTTTCATAGGTGGGCAGTATAGGTCTCCTCTAGACTGGGCATTCCAATCTAGATTGAGACGGAACTCCACAGGAGTCCTTTGAAAGAAGGCTTTGAATGCCCACACCATGCCAGCTCTGTGTCAGGCATCCTTTCTAGGTGTGGAAGCAGTAGCTTTCATGGTGTGATGAGAGCATTGATATGGAGCCTAGGGATTTGGGTTCTAGTTCAGGCATTAAACCACTTTTAGCCTATATAATTAAGGGTTTTGAAATATACTGATAATTGCTAACAGATTTAAAACACTGCACATCCATGCAATAAATCATATTTGGTTAAATTCCTGTTTTTAAGCACAGTTTTCTTTCTCTGTTCCTTGATTTCTCAGCCTGTTCTTTTTCTCTGGAAAAATCTAATTCTATTGTTCGGCAGTGTCTTTACGTTTGTTTTTTAACCTCTGCTTTTTTTTTTTTTTTTTTTTGGAGATGGGATCTTGCTATGTTGCCCAGTCTGGTCTCAAACTTCTGGGCTCAAGTGATCCTCCCACCTCAGCCTCTCAAATAGCTGGAATTAAGGCACAAGCCACCACATTCAGCATCCTCTGTTTTTATTCCTGGAAGTTTCCAGTTGTATGTTTATGGTGTTATTTCTGTTCCTTGGCCTTCCCAAGGTCTGGCCTTGGAAAATAAGAGAAGAAAATTATATTGCTCGTATTATCAGTATAAGTAAAATTTATGCCAAAGCATATAGCTATTAAAGGTCACAACGGGTAACATCTTCATAGGATGGATGCTCAGTTTTATCAAAGACTGAGGACCGTGATTGAAGTTGGTGAGGATTCTTGGTCCTCTTTAGCAGTATTTCAACTATAACTTTGTGTAGCCTTCAAATTCCTTTTGCCTCTTAGAAAGAGACTTGAATAGTGGTCATGTTGACTTTAACTTAGCAGAGTAGAACACTTTTTCTATGTCTGTTCACTGGGTTGTGTGCTGTTTTACAATTGAAGGCTTTGCTTGTGAACATAAGAATTATACCCCACCAAAAAGTTCTGTTTTACTCCCTGTATATACCATAAAAATTGTGTGCTTTTAACAAACATTGCTGTATTTTTTTCCCTAGGTAAAACTGTGTTGTAATTGATGACTTAATTTTGAGAAGTCAGTTCCTTTCATTGAAGTTTTTATCATCTTGAAACTTACTTTAGATTTGTTTTTCATTCTCACTTTAGTGTTTACCTGATTTTGGCTCTTTGCATAACCACACACATAAAGGGTCTTCATATGAGCTCTTCTTACCTAAGTCCAATGAAATAGAAAACTCTGCACATTTAAAAATATGCATTTAAAATTGTTTTTTATTGTTTTGTTGGTCATTACAAAATGTACACTCAAGGGAGATTCCTACAGACTTGTAAATTCATCTCAGCAATCCTTTAGGCTTAAAGTTTCCTCAACCCCATTGATATTCACTACTACCATTCATTTGTCACCACTAGCATCTTCCCTCCTGTCTAATCACTGAGTTAAGGGAAAAATAGTCATTTACTTACAGTAATATAATGGGTTTTAATAACAAAATTCCATTTCCCCATTAAAAGCTATGCTTAAGGAAAAAAAAATAATGGAGGCATTATTTTAAACTTCTAAATGGCCTTTTGAGTATAGTCTTAGTTTAGCTTCCTTATTTTTTTGTATATCCAACCTGAAATGACATCATCCCATGTCATCACAGTATGTTGCTTTTTCAGTATGAAGTTAATGGGCTTTTTAGCTGCTTTGAGATTTTTTTAATTCATTCAGCCACACAGAATGCAAAGCATAGAGCTGGGCCCCACAGAGACTTGGGCCTGGCATCACCCAGAAGTTCAAGGAAGGGAGAGGATGAGCACCTTCTCCATTATACATGGTGTTTGATTGTTCATGGAATTAAAAAATTTACATATAAATGAACTATATATAGATGCCATAATAAAAAGTGTACAAAAGTGCTGCTTTGGAAGTATAGATAAGAAAAATGACAATGCTAGCCTGAGAATCAGGGAAGAATGGTTCTTTGAGGACTTCAGAAATGGACAGAATTAAGGCAAAGATGTCAGGACTAGCTTTTCAGTCTGAGGCAGCATGGAGAAACAGCAGAGCAAGAGGTTTGGTTGGTGCCTACATCACAAGCAAGGTTTAACCGGAAGTTGGATTAGCCAGTTAGCTTTGAATGCCAGGCTAAAGATTTATGATTTATTATACAAGCAGTGGAGTTAGTAGAGGTGTTTTAGTGATGTAGCCTAACTGATATCCAAGGAAGATTAATCTGGCGGGACCTGTGAAATGGAGGGTAGGCTGGCAGTGGAGAGAATGGTTAGAAGGCAGAGGTGGGCTGGGCATAGTGGCTCATGTCTGTAGTCCCAGCACTTTGAGAGGCTGAGATGGGAAGATCACTTGAGACCAGAAGTTCAAGACCAGCCTGGGAAACAATGAGACCCCATCTCTGCGAAAGATAAAAAATAAAATTCACTGGGTATGGTGGTGCATGCCTGTAGTCCTAGCTACTTGGGAGGCTGAGGCAGGAGGATTGCTTGAGCCCAGGAGTTGGAGGCTGAAGTGAGCTATGATCAGGTCACTGCACTTCAGCTGGGTAACAAAGCGAGACCCTGTCTCTATTTAAAAAGAGAAAGGAAGAAAAAAGAAGGTAAAGGTGGAACTAGATAAAGGATCCTGGTGAGGGACCCTGCAAAGATAGAACCAGTTGATGAGGCAGCCGTCAGCATGAGAGTCAAAAGAGACCAAAGAATAAAAAATGATGTCAGATTTCAAGGATGGCAATACCATTCACAGAAATAGGGAAGATGGAGATTTAAAGAGCTTGAAGTTGCAATAAGGCAAATGGAAATGTCATTTTTCATAAAGAGTTGTGATATCTTTTCTCCTGTATTAACATTTTTTAAATACTGATAAATTGTTTTTAAAAATGATTAATGCTGCTCGGCGTGGTGGCTCACGCCTTTAATCCCAGCATTTTAGGAGACCAAGGCAGGTGGATCACTTGAGGTCGGCAGCCTGGCCAACATGATGACACCCTGTCTCTAATAAAAATACAAAAATTAGCTGGGTATGTATGTCTGTAATCCCAGCTACTTGGGAGGCTGACCCAGGAGGCAGAGATTGCCATGAGCCAAGATAGCACCACTGCACTTAGTCTGGGCAATACAGGAGACTCAGTCTAAAAAAAAAAAAAAATTTACTGATGCTTTTGTAATGTTTGACCCTTGAAGCATATTTCTTAGGAGCTCAGAAATGGAGCTCCTTGCACTATGCATATGTTGTCCATGAAAACAGATGTCTGTGAAAATAAACATTCTCTGTGATAGCTGTCCTTGTTCTCTAAGATAGTTTCAGCATTTTGTAAGGTAAGCAGTGGAGTGATTTCTGATTTTTGACATGAGAAAATAAAGGAATGGATCTAAGCAACTATTCAGGCTGCCCAGGCACAAAGCTATGAGATATATAAAATAGAAGCCATCAGTACTGTTGTTGTAGTAATTGGCATGGTGAATAATAAGTATAATATTGCTTGGAGCAAAACAAATGGTAAAAATCGCAAGGATGAGGAGAGTCGCCTTAACATACCACAGCCATCTATGATCGTATGCATTAAGTGTCCGGATGATGGCTGTGTAGCAGTAGATGATAACCACAAATGGAATTAAGAATCCAAAGAACGCCAAGGAGATGAAGTAGTAGAGTTGGAAGGGAGACGAGGACTCACATGTGTTGTGAACGTCGTGGCAGGTGGTGATGTCTGGCTGAACAAGATAATATTCCTGCTTCAGGATGAAAAATGGCAACATATATAAGAAAACTATTGCCCACACCAGTCCACATGTTAGCAAGGCATAAGTGTGCTTGGGCAGGCCCCGGTAGGTGAAAGGATGGACGATGGCCAGATAGCGGCTGATGCTGATGCAGGCAAGGAGCAGAATAGAGCAGTACATGTTGCCGTAGAAGATGACCGTGGTGGCCCGGCACAGGACCTCTCCAAATACCCAGTTGTTCCCATTAAGATGGTAAGCTATCTTAAAGGGCAACGTGATACAAAAAAGAAAATCTGCAATGGCCAGGTTGGTGTAGAATACGGTCATACAGATGGATCTGGTCCTGAAGAAAAGCATCCACAGGGTCACAGCATTGGCTGGCACACCAACTACAAACACCAGGAGGTAGACAGCAGGTATCAGTTTGGTACTTAAGGAGCTGGTGAGGTACCCCATAGTAGCATTTTTCACATGGAGATGTGAAGCACTTTCTTCAGGGCACTTCATTCTTACAGTAATGGTGGGTCCTGTCCAGCCTTCTAAGGCAGAAGAGGGGAACTCTTCAAAAGAATCTAGGGGAGCTCCACGAAAGGTCTTAACAGATAACACAGGCTTTGCCAAGTTGTTTGTATCATTTTCCATGCCTGTAATTGAAAGGAAGTATTCACATATATTTAGGGTTCAAGAGAAAAGAAAACAATGTGTTTTATGCTACATAATTTCTGTGACTGTAGAATTTAAGATCATTTTTATTTTTAAAAATCATAGATTAGGCACTTAACAAGCATGTACTTAATACATATCATATGCCCCAGAACAACACTATCTCATGCAGAAACAAAAACTAAATGATCACTCATTGTGTGTAAGGTGTTTATAATACTACTGAAAGAAACAAAAATAGCACATCAGAACATTATAGGCATGTTGACTATAAACTGTATAGGCATTCAGACAATACTTAATAGATTCAGGTGTTTGAGCAAAATGTCAAGGAAAAGATGAACTTGAGCAAAGACAAGCAAGATTCATAAAAAGATGGAATTTAATGAGTAAGATTCTGCTGATGATGAATGGGCAGCAGCATAGTATGGGCTATTATAAGATCTGGGAATGCCAGGTAAGTTGATTTAGCAAATTGTTATTGTACACTTACATGTCAGTGGTGTAAAGTTTTAAATAAACTCCATTTCTATCTGTAAGTAACTCTACTAGTGGAGAAGATGTATAAAAATGCATTGTCTCATGCTAATAAGGTGCAGCTGAGAAAGGAAATTGAAAGAGTGGGTAACGGCTAAGTTACTGGAGGGCCTATAAACTGTCCTGAGAAATCATGCCTGTTCATAGATGCTGGGGTTGCACACACAATTTTGAACAGAGGAGTGACCATTGTGTTAGGCAGAATAACAACTCCCCAAAGGTTCTGCCTGCTAATTCCTGAAACCTACAAGTATGTTCCTTTACCTAGCAAAAGGGACTTTGCAGATGTAATTTAGTTAAGGATCTTAAATTGAGGTTTTCCTGGATTGCCTAGGTGGGCCCAATATAATCATAAGAGTCCATATAAGGGGAGGGTAAGACGTTAAAGTCAGAGATTTGAAGATGCTATGCTGCTGGCTTTGAAGATGGAAGAAAGGGTAATAGACCAAGGAATGCAGGCAGCTTCTAGAAGCTGAAGAAAGCAAGATAGCAGATTCTCTCCTAGAGCCTCCACAATGAACACAACCCCACCAACAGCCTTGATTTTGATCTCTGATCTCCAGAAATACAAGATAATCTGTTGTTTTAAGCCACGCAATTTGTGATAATTTGATATAGCAGCAATAGGAAACTAATATAGCCATGATTTTGACTTGTTTTTAAGATGACTTAGGTGACAGCATAGAGAATAGATTGAAAAGGTAAGAAATTAGAGGCAAGGGGACCTGATTTGGAGGCTACTGTCATCCATAGCTTAGTGAGTTGCTGAGCTAGAGCATTGGTCATGGAAAGGCAACAGCAAACACCTGAGACTCTGATGGTGGCTCAGAGGGACTTGGTGTCTGATTGGCCTTGGGGTACAGTGAGGGAGGGGCAGGAGGCAATAACAACTCAGGTTTCTCTCTAGATGACTTGGAGGGAGAGGATGCCATTAATTGAGTCCGAGGAAGAGACAAGGGGGCAGGATGGAGGAGAAGCTACAATCTGTTTTTAGTCTGACTGAGGATGAATTGCTTGTGGAATATTAGTAAAATGTCCAGCAACTGGTTAGAAGACTGTATGCGGGTCCAAAATTCCAGGAGCCCAAATTAGAGGCATGGTTTATTGGAGTCTGCGTGGAGGCTCTAGTTTAATTTAGTGGGAGTGGTTGAGATGGCCTAGGGAGAGTTCTGAGAAAAAATAATCCAAAGGTGAATTTTAGGGGAAATAACAGGTTTTAAAGGAAAAGGAAACAAAGGAGGGAAGATCAGAAGATGAAATCAGCATGAGGACCTAAGAAGTTGGAAATAAATTTTTTAAAAGACAGAAACACATCAACTATCTGCTATCATTATTTGGTGTTACTTGGCATGTTGATGTTAATAATCCTAATTCCTGCAATTTCAAAAACAAAATCTTGAAGCTCAAACCTGAACATTTATTATTATGTAATTTTTTCGTAAATCTTTCACATGTATAGAAAATAGACTCAGATTTCTGATGTTACCTTTAAGGTGGACTTTTATGCCAAATTTATATTGGCATATTATATTTTATGCCAAATATATTTAAATTTATATCCAGTACTGTGCCTGTTGCGTTTTGTCCCAAGGCCTCAGAATTCCTCCTCATTGAATACTTGAAGTTAGTGTTGAGTAACCCGTTTTTCAATCAGAGCCAGTTTCTCTTCCTGCTTTAATCTCTAGCAGTTCGCTCTGGGATGAAATGGGAAACCTCCCGCATAATCCTGAGATTGCACAAGCTGAATTCACTGTGTACAATAGAGGTGTGGCCTGATAACTTCGGGTATGAAGGTGATCAGGTGTCATTTAAGAAAAGATAGATTAAAGAAAAGAAAAGAAAAATGTGGGAGGCAGCATTCTGTGCCTGTATTTAGAGGTGACCTTTGAAGGTATGTTGTGTGATACTTGAGTTTAGCCACACAAACCCTTCTCACTTTAGCATTTTAGACAAGTTTTCGCATTTGACATCACCCAAAGAGAAGAGCTTTTAAAGATAGGCACAAAGCTGGAGACTGATGGCTGAAGAGCATGCTGTACAAGTTATTTACCTGCAGGATCTGATTTTAAGAAGCTGTTAAAACCAAGTGTTTGTCAGTTTTCAGAAAATTTCTGGGATTGAGCAAGACATTATGTCTCCAGACATGCCAAACAGTGCCTGCATTTTGTGGAAAAATGGATATGATTCCATTTTCCACAAGAATGCCAGATCTGGTTCCACTTAAATAAGTCTTTATTCCTCAGAGACTGGTTTTCCTTACAAATAGTACTCATTGTTAATTTTTCTTTCATGTATTTGAATTCTTTATAAAGGCTTCCATTGGGCATAATATTTCCGAAATGTTTTTCAATCTGGGAAGAGGCCTGGAAGAACTAATCCAAAGGGCATGAACTCCAGTCTGCCAGGGGTGTCCAAGGGAGAGAATACAGTCATGGATTCATAGTTTGTTTCTGGTTGAGCCAGTAAAGCCCCTTCCTCATCCCTCTTTTCCGTTTATCACTAAAGACAGGAAGTAAAAACCATGACATCAGGCTGCTAAAAGCCTAAAACAAACAAAACAAAACAACAACAAAATAAGTCAGGTTGAACAAGCTTGCCTGATTCTTGCTTCTCATTTCTCCCCACCCCTATGGAAGAAAGCAAATGCACTCCCTCTTTGTTTCTTTCAGAGGCCCCCATTTTCACCTATATCAGACCCTACTAGTGTCTTGAAGGAACCACCCCCTGAAAACCTTATTTCTTTTGCAATTCTGCTGCTCACCGTATCGGCCCATCTACTCCCAGGAAGAGCTTGCACTTACTGTATTCATAAATCCCATATGAACTTACCGCTAATCACCACAAAATCTCTTAGAGCTCTCTGTAACAACTCAGGGATTCCAACTGTTAATTTAAGCAATATTCCTTTAAAAAGCGTTGCTTTTTGTTTTTGTTCCCCTTGCTGTGACCCTTCTTTGCCTCTCCCACTCCTAACAATGTTGACTGGAGTGTGTGACCTAGCAGTCAAAGAGTGACACGTACAGACCTATCTCAAATTTGCTATTTTTGGAAAAAGCAGGAGGTTTCAAGCTGACGTTGTTGTAGGTAAATGGAAAGTACATTCAAGGTTGAATAATAGTATTTGGGAGACCTTATTTCCAAAATTTAAATAATCATATATGAGGATGGGAAGAACTCCCCACTGAAAGTCAAAAACGGTCATTCATTTTGGAAATACTGACTTATTAACATTGCCAGCTATTGAAAGCAGATGATTTTCTCTTTCTGGCACTATTCTTGTTTCTCCCATTTATATCTCACCAAGAGGTATAAACACAGGATATATTTCTTAATCCCTTGAAAAAGTGCTATCTTTGCTTAACCAGAAGAAATTCTTAAAAACACCAAAATGTCTCTCAAAGAAAATTGCTTCCTGATTTAATTGTAGACATCTAATGTCTTGAATATGCCACACATTTTTAAACATCAGGAGAGAACACTGAGTCTTTGACCAGGTTTGCATAGAGTGAATGAACTATAGATGTTCATTTCCATGATTCTACCTTTTAATAACAAAGATCAAACTGCCTTTGGGGCTTGCAGTTTGTGTGAGATACAAAGAAAACTCGGTTCAGTTGACTCTTCATTTGTAACACAAACCCGAATCTCCATTCTACCCCCCTGAGAAAATTGCTTACCACTCTGACAAGTGGGCAACAGAAGCAGGAGGCCAGCAGCTGCAAAAATGAAGGCTTTCATTTTGATGACCTGAGTCCCGTTTCTTGAACTTTATGAAATGTGTAAAATCATGGAGCAGTTTCACCTCAGTTCCATGTGTCAGCAGCAAATGGAAGCCTTCTTCTGTCTGTAGAAGTTTGCTTTCCTGTATGGTGCAGGCAAGAAACTTGCCCTGGTCCTCCGTAGGAAAAGGGTGTTTCAGTAAGCATGACTCAGGCGAGCCTCTGAGCATGTTACGTTATCCCTGGAGGAAGGCATTTAACTCTTACCCACCCCTAACAGTCCATTCTGAATAAGTGCTGTAATTCTCCCCTAGTATGTTTGCATTTTAAAAATGGCCAAAATTATGCAGGACTTTACAGAACTATCCCAAAAACAGATGCTGCGCAGCAGTAAGTTTTGAATCTGTCCCATATTTCATTTCTTATCCATTTTAAAAATGCAGTTCCAGGGTGTCATTTCCACTTAATAAATTATCCTTTCCTGGATCTTCCCAGCTATTTCAAATCTTATTTCGTAAACACCTTACATAAATTATAAATTAAATTAATCATGGAAGGCAAACATTTTTTAAGAAATTAAAATTGGGTGCCCAATTACATTGAACATTTTCCATCGATGTCATATTGATTTGAATTTGTCATCAGTGCCTGGCCAGAAGTTGGCTTTTGAGTGGTGGACCTTTTTCTTTGGAACATGAGGAAAGGGTTTGTTCTGGCTTTTTTTTTTTTTTTTTTTTTTTTTTTTTTGCCTTATTTTGATGTGTTTTGAGCCATTCAGTAACTCTTAGGGTCAGATAACTGGGGAGACACATTGTTCAATCAAACTAAAATCATAGTCATTAAAATGAGGAGGACTCCTTTTATTCCATGAGTGTTGGTGAAGAAGTCTACAATAAGATTTTTTTAATAGTGGTAAAATATGCATAACATAAAATATACTGTCTTAACCAGTATTACGTGTACAGTCCAGTAATATTAAGTATGTCACATCGTTGTATAACATACAAGCTTTTATGAATTGTTATATTCTATAGAGTATAACTTAATATACACTAATGAAAAAAAATGCATTATTAGTTAATAAAACTTAAACCTGAAGACTGAACGGCCCAATAGCCTGCTCCTTACAAAAATGCAGCAAGAATTAGAAAATACAAATTTCACATGAGACCTAAAGGCTAGGGATAAGCTAGGAAGAAATTGATCTGTGGAAACCTCTCACATCTTAATTAAATTATATCAAATTAAGATTTTTAGGGTCAAAGATCAGTGTTTAATACCGCAACTAAATAATATATGGTCGTACAAACTGAGATAGAATGCTATTATATTGCAGAAATAAAAACTATAAAATATTGACAAAGGGTTTTTTTGTTGTTGTTTAATTAGAACTTTTCTGGGAGTTATCTAAATTCAGAAATTTATGACTTGATTTGCACATGGCCTAGTTTCTGGTCATTTAATTCATTTTTGACTCTTATGTTGAACCTGGCTGTTTAACTGAAGTGGAGGCGTGGCCGTCCTGTAAATATGCTACTCTTTTCAGTGTTCTGATGAACTATTGAAAAAGCAGACTTGGCCGGGCGTGGTGGCTCACTCCTGTAATCCCAGCACTTTGGGAGGCTGTGGGGGGAGGATCACTTGAGGTCAGGAGTTTGAGACCAGACTGACCAACATGGTGAAACCCAATCTCTACTAAAAATAGAAAAATTAGCCAAGCATGGTGGCAGGTACCTATAATTGCAGCTACTTGAAAGGCTGAGGCAGGAGAATTGCTTGAACCCAGGAGGCAGAGGTTGCAGTGAGCCAGCCTAAGTGACAGAGCAAAAATAAAAAAATTTTATTTATTTTATTTTTGCTCCATCTCAAAAATAAAATAAATAAGAAAAAGCAGACTTCACATTGATTTGATAGGATTCAGTTTTTACTGTTGATTTTACATTTAACTCTAGCAACCTTTAGTTTAATGTGTCATAATTTAAACTGTTGACATAAATTTATTTGATTTATAATTTCTCTCTTCAGTTTGGCTTATAAAACTAATACTTTAAGGTTTGAAGTAAGATTGTTACTGCCTTCTCATCTGGGTAAAAATTTGTGTGGTGCATCTTCTACAGTGATAAGTTATGAAGGAAGGTAAATACCCTTCAAAAGAACTGAGACACATAAATGAACGCATAGAGCTTAGGTTTTAGGCTATGCCTGGGGAATGTTGGGTTCTCTTAGATGTTGCGAATTGAGAAAAATTAGTTCCTACTTCCCTCTCTTTTTGCCTCCTCCAGTCTTCCCCTTTCTGTCCTGCTTCCTGTTTGAGCCTCCCCCATCCATTCTTGAAAATAATGGAAAATCTTGCTGATGCTTCCCTTGTAGTCTGCCACGTAGCCAGAGGTGATGGCGGAAGCAGGCGCCAAGCCTTCCCCAGAGGCCTTCTTTAGCCCAGATGTTGCAGGATGAAATTACAGATATTTTATCTCATTTTCAGAGCCCTTTCCCACGCATTATCTCACATTAGCCTCTGAGGAAAATAGTGTTAAAAGCCTGCCAGAGGAACCAGTGACCATTCCTCTCCTTCCTGTCCCCATCCATCTTAAATCCCAAGTGATGGTGTCGGTGCCGGATCCATCGCCTTTCATTCTTCACAGTCGACTTAGGGTTTAGAACACAACACTTATTCCTACACATAGGTAAAATGTTCCCATTTGTTAAACGTCACGCCTTTCCTGAAAATATCTCTGCTGATAAAAATTTACTTGCGATCTCAGAC